AAATTACGCCTTCTTCAATTTTATAGTTAAGGGATGGGTATCTTTTGGTCTTAAAATGATTCTACTTATGAGCTATTTACGATCGCTAAATGTTGATTGCTAAAACCTCGTATTCATCAATGTATTAATGTTGCCTATGAAGTATCCAACGTGATCCTCACCCACTGCAAACTTTTACGAGGACTATGTTTATTAGATTGTACTGACCCAGTTCGAACATATCAGCGTTCGATTCGCCCGGTTCCTTTTCTGTTGAAGAATTTCCAGGGTGCTAGTCATTTGTAAGAAAATGTTTGCTGAGTACTTACTTCGACTGTTTGCCGCTTGACCTTACAAACTAGCCTAAAAGCTCTAGACTGACACATCTTTTGCAACAGTTTCCAGAAAAATATTTAGCGCAGAATAGGGCCAGCTAGAAACTCAGAAAATGTGCCCCAACTTTCCAAAATAAAGCATAGACGCCAAGGGGCTGTCTGTTGTCTAGAGGGCGCCGCCTTAAAAAATTTAAACCATATGTCTAATGGCTTATGTGATAATCTCTAAACTTCACATGACTTCAACATCTTTTAAAAGCATAGTTCTGACCAGTTCCAGCAGAAGACTTAGCAGCCAAAGGTGACTTTATGTCGCCGGTACTGTCCTTTATTTTTGAATGCCTGTAATGTTTCGGTGTAGGTGGAAATTTAATGTTAAGCTGACCTAATTGCTCTAGAGAAGATTTCAAAATTCTATAGTTTTGTCGTTATACATGTGTTCTTTAAGATAAATTCAAGGTCCACTTGACGGCCGGGCACTTTATGTTTGTAAGTGCCTACAAACCTCACTTAAGCACTACAGGGAGAACATGGAAGAACCTAAATGAACTCGACTTTAAAGTTAATACCTTTGCAGGAAAAGCCGCAAAAAAGCGACGAACACGATGCAAGTACTGAACTTCAACAGCAACCACCCCATCAGTCACAAACGCAGTTGCGTAAGGACGCTTTATCGGCGTATTGAGACGCAGTGCAGTGAACCGGAAGACAAAGTTACCGAAATACAATATCTTCGACGAATGTTCGGAGAAAATGGCTATCCACGCGACTTCGTCAACTGGTGCATGCGCAGAAGAGATGAGCCACAAAATCGAACCGACCCCAAATTTTGGCGAACGATTCCGTACGTCAAGAATATGTTGGAGGCCCATGGCCGACTTCTCGCACCACTTGCAGTTGGAGTCGCACACAGGCCGGCGGCAACAGTAAGGGGCCGGATAATTAAAGCAAAGGACCCACAGTCACGGCGAGAAACATCTGGAGTCGTCAAGGGGATCTGGTACGCTTATGGTTAAAGTAACTACTTCGGAGAAACTGGCAGATTTATCAAGACACGAACTGCCTAACACGTGGCAGCAGCGAGGAGAAATGACGCCAATTCTCAAGTTGCAGCTCATACGACGAGACCTGGCCACACATTCAAATTTGATGGGACCATAATTTTTGCCCGAGGTGACAATCGTGTGATTCGTGAATTATTTGAGTCATGGTTCACGGGCTACCAGTCTATAAACAAGGGCAACAATCTGCCCAATCCATACTCCTTGATGAGGCTCAATTTGGGAAAAGTAATTCGCCACGTGGGGAACACAAAGGCCATAGCGTCGCCTAACGCTAACGCCTGGGAACCAGATGACCGAGCAATCAACACGTCCAATTCCACCATGTGTGACGAAAATCGCAGAAGGTCATGGCCCACACGTCGGTCATCAAGTAATTAGCGCACAAGTGGGCAATCATCCTCGATTGGGAACCGTTAATTGTCATAAGTGTGCATTAACATAGTGACAGTATCCTATAAATACTGCAACTTCTTGCGCATTAAATACCCATTTCTGATTCCGTCTCTGAAGAAGGATCCGTGACAAATTTCGAAACGTCACGCAAATAAGAGTCTTTTTCCAGCGATCACATCTTCTTCTCAAAACATTTCTAATTCCTTCAAATATTCCAAACAGAAAGATGATACTTGGGGCAAACGTCAGTCGTTTACACACACCTGATGTGCCAGAGTCGAAATTTCTCAGTAACTTTTATTGGCACTTCCCAGCAATTCTCTTCCACTAAATTATATTTCTTGGGATGCCAATTTTCCAAAATATGGGGCTGTATAATTTTGAGAACATTAAATTCATATCCCACTGTTATCAAGCAAACCTCTTCCTTCGAAAAAAAGAACAAAGAAAGTGATCTGGCAGATTCTTCATTACATCAAACAGTGCAAGTGTGTTGTTTCGTTTCGAGGAAAGTAATGCACGAACTTGGAATAACCCCCTGGGAACAAACCCCATTTAGACTCGGTCCAAAAGTTAGTGTTAATATTTGATTTGAAAGCTATCAGCCACTGTGCACTTACCATGTCATATTCAGAAGCTGCCAACAGGCATGTAGTATAGACTACGAAAGTATTGACTATACTGACAACATAGGCAATCAATACGCGTTTCGTCGACCTTGTGCTACTGCATGACGCAACTGGGAGGCGTTTGACTTGTTATTGGGTTCCCTTAGGGTTCTCCTTGTATTTTTTTATGTGTGAAGTCCAGTTTTCTTCTGCCTTGTTAAACGTCCGAGGAGATTCGTGGGCACATGAGTAGGAAGATAGAGAAGACGAAGGACAAGAGGACGATGGGGAAGAAGAAGAACAAGAACATGAAGAACAAGAACGAGAAAAACAATAGCAAGGACAAAAGGAAGAAAAAGAAGAAGAAGATGATGATGATGATGATGAGGAGGAGGAGGAGGAGGAGGAGGAGGAGGACGCTGACGTCGCTGACGGAAAAATGACGGCTAATCAGGTTAATTCATGTAGCATAGGAGGCATTTGAGTCTTTCCTCGGCTAAATTCTGTGCTACGATAGATAGATCTCAGGACGTTTAACATCAGCAAAAAGCTGAGTGAACTAAGTAGGCCCAAAAACAGCGAAACCTCGGCGAACGTTTAGCTAGTCACCCACCTTAGATAACGCCTAGCCCCAAATCCTGTGGTTACTTTTAGTTTTATTGGACATACAGGGTGTCCCAAAAAAGTGTATACACATTTAAAGTAATTGTAAACTTGGTGTTTATCATTATTTTGTTATTTCAAAACGTAAAAATATTTAAAGGTATAATTTTATTGTTTTTTCACTGCATTCTGACTATTACAACAGTGTCTGAATTGAGAGATGCTACCGGACATGAATGCACCCGAATACCAAGGGATTTTTTTATGGTATGTGCGATTCCATTGTTTCGCGTTGTCAGCAGTGTCATGAACAAAATGGACGTCAGTTTGAGAACATTCAGTGATAAAAACAATAAAATGGTACTTGTTAATATATTTACATTTATTTAATAATAAACTTATGATAAACACAATTTTACAAATGGGTAAAATGTGTATACATTTTCGGGACGCCCTGTTATTTAGTTTTTCTTTTGCTGCTTAAATTTAAACTTAAGTTCATTTTATTTCTAATTTTAATTAGATACTGCCAAGGTCAGATAAATATGCATCAATAACTAATATATACAAAATAAACCAAGTAAAATAGGACAAACTAACTAAACTAAACTAAAGCTATACTAACAAATTATAATATTAAAATAAAAACCGAAACAAGGTAATGCTACCGGTCTTTAAGACAGAATTCTCGAGCTATATTCATCTAAGGTAGAAGATCGACTTAACTTTTACCGAAAAGTCTCGTATTTTTATGTATTCGGCTAACTGTAATCGATGTTCGAACAGTTCCATGTTCTGAAGAAATAGGGGTTCTTAGAAAAAAATCGATAATTTCTCACAGGGGATAATGGATACATGGGTAAACGGCCAAACCAACTGTAAGATTGGTCAGCGAAGTTAGTTCTTATGCTTGCAGCAAGGTAAAAACTTGTATCTTCACTTCGTGCATAATTAAACACAATAGAAAATAATTTGTATGAAGATTACGCAGGCGAGCCACACCCATAAGTGTCCAACTGGACAGACATTCACACCCTCATGATCTTGCTGACAGTCAGAGAAAGACAGTCGACATTCAGCTTGTTTAAATATAGGTTTTCATTCTTTATTCCTAGAACGAGCAGTATACTTATGTGCATGATATATTTTTGTCAGTATGTGATACCGCTGCCTAATGACGGATTTTTCGAAAAAAGCAAAAACCTTTGCACAGTTATTTTTCCGCTGCACTCATCTTATTTTTTAATGCGGGACGCTGCTGCAGGTCTTAAACTCCGTACTTTTAAGCGACTTCTACCTACTCATGGCAGTCAACCATTACAAACGATGATGACCATTGTTTGCCTCCCAATGAGGTGGGTACAGCGATGGAGATTAGGGCTTGGTGGTAGGTCCGCGCAGCATCCACCCTACTGTCTCCTCTCCAACTTA